GGCAAATATTTTGAATATAAAAAAAAAAATTCATATAAAACAATAATTCATGAAAATCAATTAAAAAAAAAGGACATTGTAAACCAAATAATGAAACCTGGCCAATGATATTCAACAAATGAAATGTTATCAAATTTGCATTTAATTTATGTAGCATTACTCGCAACATAATCGACAAATGAAACTCATTCAAAATATTAAATTGAGAACTTCATCTAACAAACAACAAAACTATCACACACAATTAATCATACAAAATCATTTGGACCACACTCAAGTTAGAGACTAATGGGAGTCAAGATTTCAAGCTTAACCATAATCCTTACCTAGGAGTTGAGGTTTCTAACACGAGGGATGACAAATTTAAAATTATTTTAAATAATCTAGTGTTTTGTTTGAACTTTGTCCTATGAGTCTTATTTAGATTTTTTTAAAGATATGCATCTTATCTTTTTCTCTATACAAGTTTCATTCTTGCCTATATTCTATTTGACATTATTATTTAAAGGTTTAATTGATCAATTTATATTTATCTTGTAGTCGAGTTTCAATGATTTGATCTATAATTTCTCTTTGGCATCCTAATGCACTTGCAGTGTCAAGTAAGACTCAGCAACTTTCACCACATAATCTTATATCAATATCCTATGTTGTGTCATAAAAAGATCTTATACACCCCTTGTGCTCTAGAGCAATGATTTGTTGAAGAAGGATGCAACTTTTAAGATGTAAAATAAGCAATGATAAAATCCTACCCTAAGATTTCATCCTCTTGTGATGACTTTCTTTTGTAGATTTAAAGGATTCCCAATTCCCCATACCTATTTGGCCCCACGATGAGTTTACATGTGTCATGAAGGGCATACATTTTGAGTAAAACTACCAATGCATGCTCTCTCATAAGATGGCATTGTAATGCCATTTTTGATGCACTAGAATAGATGATACTTTTTTAGTTAAAATAAATTGCTTTAAATTAATGGCTTGCTTAATCAAGATTATAAGATTCCATATTACAAGCAATGATGATATTAGTTAGTGAAGATAGTCAACAAGATTTGACTTGAAGGTAAGACTTGATAGTTATGATTGTTTCATCAAAATGTACTTTATATATTTGGGGTGCAAATTGATAAACTAATTTAAGATTAAACTTGGTTATTAGAGAGTTTTATGCCCTATCAGATGCATCGCCCAAAAGAATAATTAGCTTGAGTGTATGTCATTCAAGATCTTATAAGTTTTAGTTATAACCATTCTATAATGGTGTCGCCAGCAATTGTAGTGACCACTTATAAAAAAGCTATTCATCATTTTATTGACATAGAATTTTAATTTTGATTTATTTGATAACATTGATATGATATCAACAATTTTGTAAATTTAGCTAAATTTGAATTTGACACACTTAAGTAGCTTAACTTAGAGGGTAGACTTTGCTTTTAGTGCAGATATATTGATATATTGAAACATCACTCTTTTTTTTAGGGAACTTGATATATGTTTATATATAATTAAGGTTAAGCATCAGAAGCACTATAGGAACAAATGAGCAAACCTTGGGATGAAAACCCTAATATTAATTGAGTGAATGGTTCAAAGCTTATCTTGATGAAATTTGTTATTGAGGAAAATACGTACAGGATTTAAGGGAGAATTTTATTTATGGTAAAGATAATGGATATAATTTTTTTTTCATTTATATTGCGTTAATATTGAATTTGTAATTTATGTAATATTGTAACGCATTCATACAATTTTTGATTTGTTGGACTTTCCTTGCTTGCATTGCTAGAGTTTTTCGCTACATAAAGGGTGTCAACACCTTTGATTTGGTCAATATACTTTCAAACAATGCTCACATTCAATCATATTTTTAGTTTCATAGTATAAGACAACTATCAACAACTCATGACATGTTTTAATTTCTTGGATCTAACCTTCATACTGGCTCAATCATATACTTCTGAGTGTATAATCCTTTCATCTCTTCACATGGATTGACACATGACAATGATCAAATTCTTGAGTAATCTAAACACTAAAAAGTTGTAACCCTAAAGTTTATGTCAGCCTTTTTGACCATGCAGAGCAAGATAGCTATACTCATTTAGAACTGATTTTATTCATCATATCTAATTTGATATGTAGGCAAATTGATTCCCCACCACCAATTTTGAGAATATCACAACCATCCAATCAATCATGATAGACACCAAAGGCATAGAAAAATACGTATCTTAATGTTTTCCTTGTAATCAAGGTCCACCATAAGACTAAAATTATCATTTTCTAATATAATCAATATCTCTAAACTAATATAATGCGAGGTTTCCTTAATTATAAGTCAGCTACATAAAAATTTCCTTAGGATTTATGGGGCATTTACATACCTACCCCCCAATTCATATGTATTTACATATCTAACACCTAAATTTTACTTTTTTTACATTTATAACACTTGAGTTCTTCATATCACCTTATATGTATCACTATTTTAACTTCTAAAAGAAAAATATTTTTTCTTGGACGGGTAAGATGCAAAGGTGGCATATATGTAAAAATTAAAATTTAGGTGCTAGATATGTGAATACATGAGATTTATGTGGTATGTATGTAATTTTTTCTTGATTTAATTATTTTATTTCTTGCTTTACTTTGATCTCACGCTAGTTCGACGTGCCATCCACCTTCCTTGCTATAGTAACTAATGAATGCAGAAAAATTAAGTAAAGATGTACTTTTTAAAACTTAATTATGATTAATTAATTTTCAAATAATAGATATCAATATTGAAATATTTTGATAAATTGTTTTTTAATGAATTTTAAAATTCTTAAATTTATTTTAGGAGCAATTTAATATTAGTTAATGCATAAATAACTTAATTAATTAATATTAGTTATTTATGCATCAATTTTAGTATCTTATGCATTGACTAACATAAATAACCAATCGATTATTATATTAAATTCACCTAAAAAAATAAATATTCAAAATTTAAAACAAAACTAAATTTTGGAAAAAAAAAATATACAAATTATTTCAAAATTTAAAAAGAAATATTAAGAGAATTATGTAAGTTTTTTTTAATTATTATTATTTTTTTATGACTTACGATTTATAAATAATTTAAGTTACTCATTTTCTAAATAAATTAATATTTTCAGTCAATTCTAACATAAATTATATCTTACCTCAAAACTTTTCCCTCACCACTTCACATTATTTTTTATTTTATTATTTTATTTTACATAGTATTAATTTCTTCACAAACTTTTCAAAACTTAAAATCATAAGATTTATCTATAAAAATAATTTTTATTTATATTTTTTAAATATTTCATCTAATTTTACGATAATATTTTATTATATTTTTAATCTTCCACCTAATTCCATTTCACTTTTATTTTTAGGAAGAATTAAATATCTAACATCTAAGCATATATGTCACCTATCTTATGCATGAAAAATCACTTTTATAAGTTAAAATTATGATATATTTGATATGATATGAAAGATTTGGGAGCAAAAATTAAAGTTTAGATCTTTGACATGTAAATACACCAGAATTGGGTGGTATGTATGAAGCTACCCTTTAAATTTATTTAGGGATAATGACACACAGACCACCCCAAACATACATATTTATAAATTAAGCATTCAAATGATTTTTTTTTAAACTACCAAACCAATGTATTTACGCTTGCTACAATCAAACTATTGTAAACTTGATAAAAAAGAAAAATACGGGTTGAGTTTTATCATGAATTTTGATACTTGAGTGAGAATTTCAAAAATGAATCAAAGAGGGTGATAGATTTGTAAATATTATGTTTCGGGTGGTCTTTATGTAATTGCCCTTTGCTTAAGGGAATTTACACAGATCACATAACACTCAATTCTTATGCATTTACATTTCACACCCAAACTCTAATTTTTACGGCTTGAATATTTTTTCCTATGTATGAAAAGATAGACTTCTGTAATCCACCTTTTAATACATATACCTAGAAAAAGATGCTTAAGACATTAAAAATTAATTTGGGTATGAGATATGTAATTGCATAAGAATTAAGGGCTACTTATGTAAATTTTCATTTTTTTTTTTATTATTTAAAGCAACCCAAAAGCAGTCTCTCTCCCCCCACCTCAATCCCCCATTCCCGCCACGCCTTCCAAGTTTCAACCCCACCTCCTCATCCCCATGAATTCCCCTTCCGCCGCCATCACCTCTACCGCCGCCGCCACCCTCAGCCGCACACCAACCGACGAGATCATCTTCGAGCTACTCCCCTTAATCCGCGTCTACAAAAGCGGCGCTGTCGAACGCCTCTGCGGCACCACCACCATCCCCCCCTCCTCCACCACCAAACTTCATTCCAAAGATGTCATCATCAACGCCGAAACCAATATCACCGCCCGCCTCTACCTCCCCACCACCCCATCCCCACCTGCCAAGCTCCCCATTCTCCTCTACTTCCATGGTGGCGCCTTCCTCATCGAATCAGCCTTCTCACCAACATATGACCCCCACCTCAAAAACCTATCCCTTCACGCTCCACTCCTCGCCGTCTCAGTCAACTACCGCCTCGCTCCGGAGAATCCCCTTCCCAACGCCTACCAAGATGCCTGGGCAGCGTTGCAGTGGGTCTGTTCTCAAGCCGACCCCTGGATTAAGGACCGGGGGGATCTGGACAGGGTTTATATAGCAGGGGATAGCGCCGGCGCTAACATCGTGCAGCAGATGGCGGTGCGAGCGGGGGCGGAGGGGGTGAAGATCATCAAGGGAATGGCGTTGGTAGACCCGTACTTCTGGGGGGAGGAGCCGGTGGGGAGGGAGAGGAGGGATGTGGGGTTTCGGGAGGATATGGAGCGGTTGTGGAGGTTTGTTTGTCCGGGAACGAGTGGGGTAGATGATCCGAGGATAAATCCGGTGGCCGGGGAGGGGGCGGCGAGTTTGAAAGAGTTGGGGTGTGAAAGGGTGGTGGTGGTGGTGGCGGGGCAGGATGTGTTGTGGAGCAGAGGGATGCTGTATTATGAGGAGTTGAAGACCAGCGGGTGGAGGGGTGAGGTTCAGCTTGTTGATACGCCGGATGCTGTGCACGATTTTCATATTTTTTATCCGGAGACTGAGGCGGCCATGGCCGTCACTAAGAAATTGGCGGCTTTCTTTGTCTGATACATCATACATACATATATACATACATATATATATGTATAGCTTATTTTGTTCTACTCTTAGAACTTCCATGACATGCGGCATTCACATAAGAATCATGTTATAACTACTTTGAAGCGAAGGAAAGGCTGCAAATTATCTATACTACAAATCTATAAATTTGAAAAAAAAGGGGGCGGCAATTACATACAGACCACCCCAAACTTCCTATTTACAAAGCAGACACCTTTTTCATCCGTTTTTCAAATTCTCACTCAAATATCAAAATTCATGATAAAACCCCTTTCAGTATTTTTCATTTTTATCAAACTCTCAATAGTTTGATCATGACACGCGTAAATGCATAGGTTCAGTAGTTCAACAAAATTACCTAGGTGATTAATTTATAAATATCAAAGTTTCAGGTGATTTGCAGGTAATTATCCCAAATAAAAAATAGATTCAGTTTTTTATTGGATTTTTATTATCATTATCATAAATAAGGGCTCTTAGTAGTGCACAAACAATCATTAGAGGCAATGAAACTAAGTTCCCAAATACTTTGGAGACAAAGCAGGTACAATGAAAGAATAAATGGAAGAAAAAAAACAGACGGATTTAAATAAATTGTACCTTTGCTAAGAAGCATTCAAAGAGAGTTTCCTTTTCCTGAAAATCACAAATCAAATCTTACGTTCCAGTTACAATTAATATCAGCATTTAGGGTCCAGTTATTCTCCCTGATTTGGAAGTACGGCACCTGCAATAATTTCAAAGGCAAATCATCAATAAATCTTTGATTTCCACAAACCAGTTTATTTAATTAGTGACCTTTTCTAATGTAAAAGTTTAGTATTAATTTCTCCGTATGATTCGTTATCCAAGCAGTGACCACTCTTTTTAGGTGACTTTCTCTATAAAAAACTATGGTGCAGTTATCTCTTCGTATGTAAATACATAAGAATTGTAAGCCATGTACATAATTATGACTGTCACAACTACAAGATACGCAAGTTGAACATTCATGGTGGAAATGCTATTCATGCATGAATATAACTGAGCATGCTGAATTGAAACATCAGGTTGATGATTTGCTACACAGAAACTATGAGAAAAAGAAAGCTAAAAAGATTCCTCATGGATGACATATGTTAATAGCAATTCTAATTCACTGTTTGATTTCCTATTCCTCGATTAGATGAGGATCTAGAAGTTTTTATGAACTCTAAATATTTCTCTAAATTGTTCTAGGAAGTTGTTACCATCGAATTGCATTCAGAATAATTGATGAATCATATAAGTGGTTAATAATGTCATTTGGTGCGTCAAATGTACCTAGCAATTTCAAGCAAATCATGAACCGAGCGTTGAGGCCATTCATTGGAGCTTCTCGGTGGTTTATTTTGGCGATATACTAGCTTTCAGCATATCACTAAAACTGTTCAAATTTATCACCTACCTATTATATTTTTATAATTCAAATTAAAAATAATAATATCAATTTGAAAAACTGTGATTGTCTAGGTTTTATAATATATATATTGATGGAGCTTCAATTGATCCGATAAGGTTCACTGCCATTTTGAAGAGAAATCGTAAGGATTTATATGTTGTCGAAATATATTGTCTAATCATGAAATTATATTTATTGGATTTCTTTTTTGAAGAAATTTATGAAAATGATTTGGCACAATATTTGCTCTCTAATGTTTCTCATTCTAAGGCCAATGAATGTATTATGGTTTTTAATCGTAATCTACAAACTTACGATGACAAATTTGATGACAGTTTCAGAAAAGGATATAATGTTATTCATAACAAAATTTGCATATAATAGATCCATGCACTTCACTATAAACATCTCTACTTTTGAAATTACTATGAGATCCAAATTTAAAAACTCTTAGATTTAATTCAATGACCAACACATCCTAATTCTCAGTTGGGCGCATCATTTATTGAAAAATGCAATATACGTATTAACATGAAATTAAACAATGCACAACAAACTGAAAAATATGAAGCAGAAGTATACTCGAGCAGAAAGAAATTTGAATTTAAGTGAAGGAAAATTTTGAAAGTTAGTTATTATATAAAAATATTTTCAAAAAAATACCTTCAAAAAGCTTCATGCATGCTCTTCTAATCATAACAAAATCCTAAAGAAATTAATCTCTAATTTATATTTGATTTAATTGCTTCATGAAAGGCATAAGTAGTATATTTAACATCAAAGATCTAATATCATATTAAGTCAAAATCGAGTCATTTTTATTTCAGATAGTGCTTTTACAAGTGGATCTTCTACCCCTACTCTACACTGCCAACTAAATATTTCGACACACAAAATCACTGACAAAATCATAATATGATAGAAAGGTTTTCATGGGTGATTGATTCATTAGAAGAAGTTTCTCTAGAAGAACATTCCTGGATGGAAGATGACTATATGATACAACTAATTATGGATAAACAGTTTCATGATCTCATTGCAAACCCTCCTAGCGAGAATTCTTCAAAGCATGCAGAAGTTGATGCAATCCAAACTTTCAAACTAAGCTCGGATATCATACTGGGCTACAAACTTCATTGCACCAAGAGTTGATTGAGAATTTAAAATTAATTTCAGATTATGTCACAATTTCACACATTTTCATCTCAATTTGAACTATCCTGATTAGGTCATATATCATGATGGTTATAAATTTCATTAAATTTTTTTCTAAATTGGCCGTCAGCCTGTGAATAAAAGTTGATGCTTTGCTTCAGATATCCATCATAATTGACAAGACCTCCCAACCTACCACCCTAAAAAACAATGGAAATGGATAGTTCAAATTGTGGTCATACATACTACCTCCTTGCTAGTGATTGTTGTCTTATAAGAAATTAGAATAATCATTTTAGAAAACTCACGAACCACTGCTTGACCGCTTTCACCTTTTCGAGGTCAAACTTAACCTCTATACTCCCATCTTAATTCTAAAATAGATGAATTTATTGGAAAATTCACATTTTTTTAGTTGATACAGAGAAGACATTGAAATTTGCAGAACTCCTCCAAACGTTCTATGTGCTCTTCCCACCATCTATTTAAGTCATACAAGTATGATCACAAAACATCATACATCAATCTCATAAATTTAGTGCAGGCATTGCAAAGCCTGAATGGCATGACCAAACAATCATAAAATCCTTGTCTAGTGTTGAAGGAATTCAACTATGCATCTATTTTATTAATGTACAGGTGAGGAGAAACATAATTGAGATCTAGCTTGGTGAATATGATTGTAAGTATTAATTGACCCAACATATCATCAATGCACAATAGTATATAACAATACTTTACTATTAATTTGCCGAAGTTCTTTTGAAGCATTTTGCCAATAGAGCAAGTGCATCCTTGACAAGGGACATTGGCTTTCTAATGGAACTGTCTTGACATATAATCTCTATATACCATTCTTCTTTAGTACTATCACAATTGGGCAATCCATAAGATGAACATGTCCGTGAATAACTCCAATCTTCAACAATTTTACCACCTACTTTTTGATTTTTTTCCTTATCAATGATCAAGTTTTGATACATCAGAAGACTTGTTAGCAATGTGTTTGATATCCACTAGATGACATGCTTTATGGCTCGCTTTGGAGGCAACCCCTTATAGAAGAGCAGTGCATATTTCTCCCAAAGTTACGGTTGAAATCTCTGCTTTCTTGAATGCAAAAGGAGCATAAGTAAAATTTGTGTAACATTTACATGTTTAACTCACTGGCCTATCTTCAAGACATTATCGTTTGTACTACAAAGTCTTTCAACAAGCACCTATTTTTATTTTTATTCATCAAGCATTGTTACCGACAACGACACAATACTGCATACATGTCATGAAGGTATCAATTCGAAAGATGATTTGAAGAAATGTCAATTGGAACCATAACGCAACAGCTCATTAATGTACCTCAATAACTGGAAAATTTAAGCCAACATTGGTGATTAACTCTCATCATTAAAGCCATCAGAATCTAGTCAAAGGATAAGTGCTTGAATAAGCTATGGTGTCCAGCCTAAATATCAACATCAATACTACAGAAATGAGATTCTTCTAGGCTCTAATGTCACAGATGAATTAGATCACCTCTGCTTGCCCTGGACAGTAGAGTGAACAATTCATCATGTGTGACCAAATTAGAGAATGCCCACCATAATATCCTTTAACGTAGCCATCAACGATAAGAAAAGGTCTGTAATGTCTGCAGCATTAAGAATAATCCTATCCACAGTAACAATATAAATCTTTCCTTTCCACCAGGGAAAATTTTAAAGAGCACATTTTAAGCAATGTTCTCATATGATCAACCATCTGGCAATGAACATCAAGCTTCCCTGTAATATTTGACTAAAAGGTTAAAACAACTTCTTGAGAGTTACCTATCTTTTAGCTCTGTTATGTTCTTTGAGAAATTGATTGAAAACAAGCAAAGTTCATATGCGATTTGTAAATAAATCCCTAAGGTGTACTTCAATGATATTATATATCTCTAAAAGTTTTTCCAAAATGACCACCTAATAAATCCTTGAAGTGCGCTAAAACTCGAGGCATATAAACTTTTTTAAAGATCTCCCAAGTCATCGTTTGCTGGCATCATTTTTAGATATGCATTCAATCACACCTCAATACTTTTGTGTAACATGCACTCATAATGACTCTCCATTTTATATCCCATATTTTGTCCGTAACATGCACTTAGAATCATCGCTCCTCTAATACCAACTTAATCAAAAGCCAACCCTCAATACTATTGTGTAAGGCTACAGTAAGAGGTTTAATTAAGTTTTTCAAGTTGAAGATAGATCTCTCCCCCCAATATTAACTTCCACTCCCTATTTCATAAAAAAATAGCGTTATGATAGGACTTAATGGCTTAAAAAATGCAAAATAGACTATTGCTTTCGAAGTTTGAATTGCAGCAGAAGCAACTTTTGCTTATTAGCAACAGAGAAAGTAACAAAATTATGAGCAAAGGCTTGGCAGCAATAAGAGAGCATAGTAATGACAATAGCAGAAGGACTTTCAGTTTCAGCAGGGAGACTTCTCTCGTTTCCATTGGGTCTTTTTTATGCAGTCCAAATCTCAAATACCAATGAGTAATCATAACTTCATTACTCTTTTACAAACTTAATTCAATGCCAATATAAAAATTTTCTGATATGACGACGTTGGCGAATATAACAATTATGCGCTAAACCAATTCCTCATTATAAAAGACACTCTTCACCAATACTCTTGTCCGTAGACACCTGAGCAGAACGGGGTGGTGGAGCACAAAGATAGACATCTTATGGCTCGTGCTCTTCTACATCAAGCTTATGCGCCATACAAATTTTGGACCGATACTCTTTTAACGGCGGTTCATCTCATAAATCAAATGCCTACTAGAACTACCAACTATATCTCCCCATATTACATAAGTCTCCACCCACATACACCCATAGTCGAGTTTTTGGATGTGCTTGCTACCCATGGAGAAGACCTTAAACCAACCACAAACTTGAACCCCGATCAATTCAATGCATCTTTCTTGGCTATTCTCTATAAACTAAGGGCTATAAATGCTACAATCCTAATGTTAATAAAATCATCATCTCACGTCATATGGTGTTTGATGAAAATACCTTTCCTTTTCTTCACAACTCAACTTCACCGCAGCAAAAACAATCCTCCACTTCAGCCCACATACCATCCTCTTTCCTACAACCCTCAACCCTCTTACAACCTGCTGCTCAACCGCCTCTCACCCTACCTCTTTCCCCCCCTCTAATGTCCAATGATCAACCTCTTCCTCCTATGGACTCCCCCACACCACCATCCCCTCTCCAACCTCAGCCGAATCATCCAATGATAACCAGAATTGAAATCGATCACCTGAAGCCCATCCAGAAATTCAACAGACACCTGATCCAACTTGCTTCACCCAAGCATCCAAACTACCACAATGGCGGCATGCCATGGCCGAAGAAATAACTGAACTGCAATGATAAGGAAAATGGAAATTAGCTCCGCCTCCTAATCATCTGATGCTTGGTTCTTGATGGACCTACACAACCAAATTGAACTCACTCGGTGAAGCCATACGGTAAAAAAGCCCACCTCGTTGCCCAAGGTCACAAGCAGGAATTTGAGGTAAATTACCATGAAACATTTAGTCAAGTGGCCAAAGACCCTACCATTCGCATCCTCATCACAGTTGCCCTTCATCACAACTGGCTCATCCTTCAATTCGACATCTCCAATACATTTCTCCATGACAGACTCAATGAGCAAATTTACATGAAACAATCCCCTGGATTCCATGATTCACACTTTCCAAATCATGTTTGCTTAATACAAAAATCGCACTATGGATTAAAGCAAGCTCCCAGGCAATGGTTTATTACGTATTGAAATTTTATTCAAAATAAAGGATTTTTTATTCAGCAAGGCGGATCCTTCCCTTCTTCTCTACAATCAGAATGCAACTCGGATGTTTGTTCTTATCTACGTGGATGATATTCTGATTATAGGTAATGATTCTAGTGCAATTTCAGCCTTAACCACAACTCTCACAGCTACCTTCCAGCTCCAACATCTCATGACATTGGTTGCTTCCTTGGAATTCAAGTTCACAAATTACCAAATTTGTATCATCTTACACAACAGCGGTACACACAACAAATCCTTTCGAATGCAAGCATGGAAGACTGCACACCACTCAGCACACCAATGAATGCTCACCAAGCTAGCCATTCAGAATCAGGTATACCATTTCATAATCCTACTCTTTATCGCCAATTGACAGGTTCTCTCCAATATCTTATAGCGACTCGCCTAGATATCACATATGTTGTTAACTGGCTATGTCAGCATATGCACTCACCCACATCAACTCACTCCAATCTCACACGCATCTTCTGAGATACCTGAAAGGCAAAAGTCAATTTGGGCTAGAAGTTCGATTGAGCAACCTTCATCTATGCTCATATGCTGATGTTGATTGGGCTAGCGACACAAGTGTGTGTTCTTTTCTGGGTAACACTTTGATAGCTTGGACCATAAAGAAACAATCTACAGTGGCACTTCCTCGACAGAGGCAGAGTATAGGGCATTTGCTACCGCTACCACATACATCATATGGCTTAGAAGGTTGATTTAAAAATTTGGTATTCCTCTCAATCAACCAACCCCACTTTACTACGACAACATTTCAACAATCTCTATTGCAAACAATCCTATCTTCCATGCACACACGAATCATATAGAGATCGAATATCATTATCCGTGATCACATTCACTCCAACCAACTACGGATCGAACATATTCATTACCAGGATCAACCAACGAACATTCTTATTAAAGCCTTATCTAAACGCAAATTTCATCAACTTCGCACCGAGCTGACCGTTCTTCCACGACCCATTAGCTTGCAGAAGGGTATTAGCGCCACTACACCACCTTTAGTAATTATGACTCTTAAGGGATCCCAAAGAAGGAGTGTGAGCAATATCCTAACTAATTCTATTCCTAAAGAAAATGTTCCTAGAACCTTCTACTCTTATATATATACTAACTGTTATGTATTACACGTGTTAATGAAAAGTTCAATAGAATTACCTGTCTCTTATACTCTCTAGCATTAGACTTCTTCTACTATTTTCCTGCATCTTTGTTCTCCTCGAATTTCATTCTTCACAGTAGAACTGAGTTAAGAGCTCTAATAATTAGCAACAGGCGGCAGATAAAATAATTAGATGAGTGGATTTCAGAAAAAAAATCAATTGCATTTTCTACAGAATCTAGCCTTTAATTATACATGAATAAGATCTTAAATACTCCTAAAAAAACTCTGAGAAAAAAAAAAAAACAAAAAAGAACCCTTACCTATAGAGGAAAAAATAACTTAAAACTACAAGTATCAAAAGGACACTACCTCAAGCAGCATGCTTAGTATCGAACCTAATGGTCTCCGACACTAGTCTCAATGGATGCAACTATCATGAATTTCTTTCAATTGTCATAGAATAACTCACATTTTGTGTGTCACATATATATATATATATATATATATATATATATATATATATATGTTCCTTAGGCTCACCTAATAAAAACATAAGATACATTTTATCATTAAAAAAATGATAAATAATAATAATAATAATAATAAAAACTTCAAACCACATGATAATAAACTTATCCTAATCATAAATTCAAATTCATCATTATCCTAATATAAAATGGTTCAAGCCATTAATCTCCCTTGTATGATGTACAATTGACAATTTGTCCCACCTAGGGATTGGTAAAATCCACTTGGACCTCAACAACATGATTACAGAATCACCACTATCAATATTCTTCATCAAAGAATCACTCAATTTGAAAGCGAAAGAATTTTTCTACAAAACTCTTCACAATTTTAAGCCCAAATTATGATGAACGCTTCTTATTATAGCCTTTCTTTGAAATGAATGTTCAAATTTACCATTTCGTTCATGATTTAACCTCCATGTTAGATAGAGCAAAGTAATCAAATTGACTAATTTTTGGTTAGTGGTAGAGCAACCACCAAATTAAGAGTAAAGCAACAACAAGAAGGAAGCACAATGGTGACGATGGAAGAAAGACTAGCAGCATCAATAGGACTGGTAATTAATGGAACAAACTACAATTCCTGGAAATTGAAGGCAATATATGAAATAATTAATAGAGTGAATGTTTTGAGAAATTTTGGCTAACATTTTCTGTATAATTTAAGCCTTTTTACATATAACAAACAAGTTAACTTTAAAATATAAAAAATAAATAAATAAACAAATAACTTCAAAATACAAAATTATTTCAATAAATTTTTTCCTAATCCTATATATAAACTAAAATACAAGTTTATCCGAATAGTTTTTTAAAAATTTGAAGTAATCATTATAATTTTGTAACCTAATTTTTAATCCAATAATTTAGACTCAAAAGGCCTTGATCTCTAAGGGTGGAAACGAGTCGATATTGAGCGAGCTCAGAGTCTGCACCTGTTTGGATCATTAAAAAAATTGTTTGTTCAAAATTGATTCATATTTGAAATCGTTTTTGAATAGCATGTTTCTATTCAATGCCTAAGAATTAGAGCATGGCTCATGTTCAACTCATATTTAGTTTGAATTATTTAAAAAATACTAAAATTTAATATAATAAAAATAAAAAATGTTATCATAAATTTATGATTTATATAATTAATATAAATATGTAAAATTATTCATAAATAGTAATTATTTAATTATTCAATGATTTAGAGCCAAAGCAAATAGGACACAATCACATAAGTGTCCATTCGTGTTCAACTTGTTCATAAATCTAGCTCAAATTTCTCTTTGTGTTTGGCTCTCGCTAACAAATGATTTGAACTAGAGTTTTTAACGAATAAGAGTTATTCACAAACAAGTTTTTTTGGCATCCCGTCTCTAATTAACAATCCAACTGTGGTTATAGATTCGTAGCTACATCCTTTTGGATCTTAAAAATATTATCACAAAACCAACACCATTAATAGTCTTCTTAAAAAAACCAAAGGTCCAAAATTAACTAAACTGTTATCATGATCTCTATGTGATGTTGTGAGAGATACTCTTATAGCTTTTTTGACCTCCATTTCAAGTATATAACCAAGTGGTCAATGAGGATCCCTTGCTTTGTAGCGTGAAATTTTTGCTCAAAATCTTCATGTGGTTATCCAAGTTATGAAAGCTTTTTCCACCCCCACTACACCCCACACTTTAAGTCCCGATTTTGCCAATGCATATAAGCAAGCTTCTTGTATCAAATAGGAGTCCTTTGGTCAATAGGCACTCAAAAAAAAAAAAAAATCCAGTGCCAAGTTTCTTCTTTGTGGCAAAGAAGGCAGTCTTCAATTTAAAGAATAATACAATCAATCAGCAAAAAAAAATGATACTAAAATTTATGTGACATGAATGATTGACCCACAGCCAACTAAAAAGTACTAACCGAATGAAAGGTAAGACCGACCTACTACAGAACAAGCAAAATAATACAATGTTCTGAAGTGTACGTTATTAAAAAAAATATTGATACCTTTCCAAGTAAGTCATAGCCTAATTTGACCCTCACATCTTGGTCTTTCTGGAAATCAAGAATACTCCATGCCAACTCAACCGCTCCTCTAGCATTTTTCTGGACAATTTTAAATCATGTTGTTAAATGAAAATAAAAAAAATAAGAAAGTCCAGGCAACATTAGTTGAACACGCAGCACAAATGCCTCCATGACATATATCAGTTATCTTTATTTCCTCCAGCTGATTCTTTAAATTTAATGTAGGATAATTCATTGAATTAGAAGTGGAAACGGAAACACTATAAACAAAAGAAAAATGTATAAACTTTTCAGAACCTAACTTCAGAAAATGTGAGACTCTAAGCAAATGTTTCAGCAATTCTAAAAAAGTGATGAAAAGTTCGATAACGTGAGCACATATCACATGCACATAAGATCAAGAACATCTGATCCTTTTTTGGAATGTCAAATATGGAAACCAACATCTCTCTTAACATGTTGAATTACATATTATAAGAAGATAAGAAAGTGAAAAAGCCATCATGAATGTCTATTGATAGTTCGGATATTAACCATATTTGTAATGGCCAATCTCAATATATTGAGTTCAAAAGTAAGAAAATTAAAAAAAAAAAAAAAGATATTGCCTCTTGACCTTTGTTGAACTTACACCAAGTTATCAGGATCAAGCTGAAGAGAAAACAGAACAAAGTAGAATAGCAGAAAAGAATCTAATCACATTACTAAACAACTCATTGATTTTTCAAAATTGATGAAGTTACGGTGGATGGCATTTATAGTGCAGGTGGAGTATCTTTCGGTTATGGGTTTTCAGCAGAAATGCTCTGATATGGGGATCAATTGCTAAATCTGTTGCACTGCTGGGAATTCAGTTATAACAGATTTTATTCTGTTATCAATAGCTATATAAACATTCAGTTTTTTAACCTTGGCTTATTAAAAAAAATTCATACAAAGTTTACAAATTTACGTCTTTCTATTTTTACTGCATTAATAATCTGACCCTATTATTGAATATTTTGTAAAAACTAAACATGCACGAATCAAGTTCCATTTTTAACTATCCTCTACTTTGCAAACGTGGTTAATGCCCGCATTTCATTCATACCAGTTATCATTAATCATTAAGAAATAGCACGAGGTGGTTCCTAAATCAACTGAAGATTAGCATGTAATTGGATGAAACAATTAGAAATAATAAATAGAGATTAAATAGCAGACCTGATTAAAATTTTTATCAGTGTCACATCTGCCCTTCATATTGAGAACCAGCATTCCATTGGAAGTGAGTCCTAGAGCTCTCTTTCCTCGAATATTATAGCCAAACTTATCTTTACTGTTGAACTCGAATCCTACACCAAAGCTAGCTGAATGCTACATAAAACAAAAGCAAACCATGGCCTTCTCATGACAGGCTAATCATTTTATATAAAACATTCAAAATGGTTAGAAAAACATATAAGCTACCTCAGGAAAGAAGCGCCTGATAGACATAGCAAGAAAACGTGGATGACCGGCACCAGTTTCTACTTCTCCATGTGCCTACAAACAAACACCTGATTCATTGAGGATCTAGCACCTTATTTATACAATAATATTCTAGGTTAATATAGGCAGTTTCTACCTATGAAACTACTAATTATATGGCAATCACATTATAAAAAGTCCTGAGACGGAATGTAAAAGAAGCAATTTCTATATTGGCAGCTACTATGAAAATAAGATATTTTATACCATGGTTTATTTTCCACGAAATTTAAGAGAGATTTACATCCCTTGTAAACGTCCATGGATTATGATCTTGTCTAGATTACTCTAGGCAGTTTCTAACTATGAAAACTACTAATTATATGGCAATCACATTGCAAAAAAGTCCTACGACGGAATGTGAAAGAAACAACTATGTTTCTATATTTGCAGCAACTATGAAAATAAGATATTTTATAGCTTCCACGGATTTAATTTTCTTAAAATTTAAGAGAGATTTATACCCCTTGTAAAGGTCCATGGATTACGATCTTCTCTAGAATGATGGACCCAGCTTTGTAATACCATGGTCTGCCAATCAGGCCTCCAGAACAATCAATATTTCTCAAGGATTAGAGAAGATATTTTTTATGCCTAACTTAAAAGGTGATATTCTGAAATATATGGACCAAATAGTCCTTTGGTTAGGATGTCATACATATTACTTCCAAATTTTCTTTGATGAAATGCCAATTATTTTTTTATTGCTTGGTTCGTTTAAGTTGGATAGGACTGCATGTAATGTTTATGGCTATTTATGGCCACAATATAACATCATAGTATTTTAATTTTTTTCATTTCTTTTCTAAGTCATCTAAGATAATTTTGTTCCACAAAATTTCACAGATCCCTAAGATCATTGCTAAAATTTAGCTTTAAATTTACATCTAGATACAACTATATATTTCTTGCTTCGTCAAGGGATTAAATTCTCGCCTAGAAAAATGCATTAACAACTAGTAGACCTTCTATCTATGAGGAATCCTGCCTAATTAGCATACCGTATGCTTCTCAGTCGAGCATTCTATTTCTTTGAAATACTTTTTTTTTTCTTGGTGCTTCTTTCAGCGATTTAAAAATGTTGTATGCCTCACGTAAATGCATTTATTTAGAATTATACATAAATTGACTTAGAATGCCTACATCATAGGTCATGCTTCATCTTTTGTAGGTAATATAGACAAGCTTCCCAATCAGTCTTTGATACCTCCCTTTACTAGTTTCTAGGTTTTCATCCGCCTCTTCCAAGTCCTATGAAAATAACCAATTGGAACTTCTAAGGGCTTGCATCTCATCATGCTTGTTTCATTTAGTGAATGTAAGATGTATTTTTATTGAAAGCTAAATATCCCTATTCTTGAGTGGGCCAGTTCAATTACAAAAAATTTTTAATCCTTCCTAGATCTTTTACTTCAAAATTTTTTAATGATCTTCCATGTTTGGTCATCTCTTGTTAAAATCATGTCATACACATACACCATGAAAGCTGCAATTTTGTCTCTGTTGAAATTATTTATAAAAAACAGTGTGACCTTAGAGATTTTGTAGAGTTCATCCATTTTACTACTTTGGTGAACTTATCAAATCATATCCTTAGAGATTATTTGAGCCAGTATAAAGCTTTTTTTAACCTGTATATATGATTAGTAATAAAATCTTACTTACAACCTAGCGGACATTTCATATAGGCTTTTGTTAATTCAACAAGTAGAAATGTATTTTTTACATTTGACTATTGTAAGGATCAATTGAAATTGTTTATTAAAGATAGAAGCATTCAAAAAATTTAGCCTGGGGACCAGCACTAAGTTTTTTCATATTCAACTCTAAAGGTTAGATTGTATCCTATGAAGCATGGACAGGCCACAGTATGACGACACAACATAATTAAAAAATATATAATAAGATATGTCATGGACATTTTTTACATTTCATAAATACTTAATATAAAGTATATATTTTTTCATTATCGTTTAATAAATACACCACAAAATAAAATATGCAGCAAATAAATTTAACTTGTATTAACAAACCTCATGCTTATAAAGATCATTATTCAAAATCAGAAATAATATGCTTCTAAAGAATTCCTCTAACTTACAACAACAACAACAATAACAACAAAGCCTTAATCCCACTACGTGGGGTCGGCTACATGAATCCTTTTTCTCCATTGCGTCCTATTTAGTGTAATAATTTCATTTAGTTCTAGTAAGTTAAGATCATTTTTAATACAATAAGCCCAAGTCTTCCTAGGTCTACCTCTGCCTTTCTTAACACAAATCGAATCTAAAACATCTACTCTCCTAATCGGACCATCAGATGGTCAACGTTTAATGTGACCAAACAATCTAAGACGACTTTCTCTAATTTTGTCTGTCACAGGAGCTACACCAACCCTATCACAAATATATTCATTCCGCATTTTGTCTCTAAGTGTAAAGCCACTCATCCACCTAATCATTCTCATCTCGGCAACACTTAACTTATTATTATGCTTCTCTTTTAAAGGCCAACATTCAACACCATAGAGAATTGCCGGTCTCACCACCGTCTTATAAAATTTTCCTTTCAGTCTTAGCGGTACTTTTCTATCACACAAAAGGCCCGAAGTATTCCTCCACTTCAACCAACCAACTTGAATTCTACTATTAACATCCCCATCTATATCACCATCGCTTTGAAAAACGGACACAAGATATCTAAATCGTTCACACCTTTTAATAATTTGATCACCCAAAGTCACACTTCTGTCACTAGAGCTATAACTACTAAAAGAATTCCTCTAAATTATCTGCAAAAATTTAAAATATCATACAATTACATTTTATTCAATTAATTGAGTTAAAATTGAACTTTTAAAATTATCAACAACAACAACAACAACAAAGCCTTAATCTCACTACGTGGGGTCGGCTACATGAATCATTTTTCTCCATTGCGTCCTATTTAGTGTCATATTTTTATTTAGTTCTAATAAATTAAGATCATTTTTTTTATACAATAAGCCCAAGTCTTCCTAGGTCTACCTCTGTTTTTCTTAACATAAGTCGAATCTAAAACATCTACTCTTCTAATCGGATCATTGATGTTTAAGTGACCAAAACATCGAAGACGACAAGACGACTTTCTCTAATTTTGTCTGTCACAGGGGCTACACCAACCCTATCACGAATACCAACCCTATCACTGATATATTAACTGATATATTAATTTTGCATTTTGTCTCTAAGTGCAAAGCCACTCATCCACCTAATCATTCTCATCTCGACAACACTTAACTTAGTATTATGCTTCTCTTTTAAAGGCCAAGAGAAGCATAATACTAAGTTAAATGTTGCGAGATGAGAATGATTATATGAATGAAAAGCTTTACACTTAGAGACAAAATGCGAAATGAATATATCCGTGAACTTTTAAAATTAGACATGTCATGGACACTTTTTATATTTCCTACATTCTTAATTTGTTGTTGTTGTTGTTGTTGTTGTTGTATTGTTTACTAAAGACATCAGAAAGATGCATATATAAAATATATTTTATTCATTATTGTTTACTAAAGACATCAGAAAGATGCACATATAAAATATATTTTATTCATTATTGTTTACTAAAGACATCAGAAAGATGCACGAATAAAATTTAATTTCTATTATCAAACCTTGTGCTTACAAAAATCATTTTTCAAAATAAGACAATATGTTTCTAAAAAAATTCTCTAACTCATCTACTAAAATTCAAAATATCCTACGATTACATTTTATTCAATTAAATAAGTTAAAATATAACTTTTAAAATTGTAATAAGTATAAATTTATAACTATTAAAATGTACTCCGATTACACATTGTTCAAAAGAACTCCAATGTCCGGCTTCAACAAATGTAGGATGAACTTTTGAATCTCAAATTTGACAAAAAAAGAAAGAAATACCGATGCTCGGCTTCGATAAATATTAGATGCACATTTGATGCTCGATTTTGATGAATGTTAGAAGAAGCTTCGGCATGACAAGCGAGGAAAGGGCTACCACTATGAGGTATAGTTAAGGTTACATGTATATTTATAAGCTTTTACGTCCCGTGTCCCATTTTTCCCCAAATCGTGTTGAGCACAAGTATGATGCAATGTTGAGGGATGTCCCAAACTTGTTCGGGTTGAAAAAAAAATTCAGTCACATATTTTGTAGAGTCAGACAAGTGTCGGGGTGTGTCGGAGCCGGATCCATGTCCAACTCGGTTACAAAATATTTTTAGAAGTGTCGATGCTACATAGATTGTAGACCATCTCAACTAGTTTAGCTTTATAACTTTCGAATATCCCATTTGAATTATATTGATATGTATATATCCACTTATATCCAATTAATTTCTTTCCTTTTGGCAATCATACAATCTCTTAAGTTTGATTTTTTTTATGGTTCACATTTCTTTCATCATGACTTTTTTCACACTTTATTCTCAGGTTTTTTTTTTTTTGGATAAATTTATGAATCTTAATATTATTCATCTCTGTAAGCATTGTTTTATGGGAGAAGGAGATATTGAGAAAGTAAAATAAAATAGGCTTTCGTATGTATGGCACAAGTTTACATTCCTTATTCTAATGCGATAGAAGGTTGATAACAAGATGATTTGAATTTCGTGATTGATCTTGCATGGATTCAAATGGTTTTGGTTCAGGGTCAAACTCCTTTCCTTGTTCTTAAATATACCTGTGCAAATGATTTAGTTTCATTAGGTAGCATTTTGTTGGAATTATTATTTAAAAGGCTAATTCTATATGTACGGAAGTTTCAGCTTACATGAGACTTGTGGGTGGGACGGCTGGAAAATAAAATTCAAGGAAATCAAAGTCATCTTCCTTCCAAGGCTTCCTTTAAAAACAATGGTCATAGAATCATTGATTGTCAGCGAAAAAAAAAACTTCTTGCGAGATAAATATTAATTTTGGAATTGAGATAGTAACACATCCTTTTTGAGCCGAAAAATAGTCTAGGAAGATACATTTTATGGT